TGTATTTTCCAATGAAAAGTTAAAGTCATAGGCAATAAAATATTAAAGTGCACCACATGACTGGGTAGGCGTAGAACCACCTTTCACAGCATTAACTTGAAGTAATCATTTTTCATGTAACTGTCAATTTTGGCCCAACTCTTTACAACATTGCTTTGGTCCATTGAGATTCGTGGGCATTCATTTTTACACAGCTCCCTCCACAGCATTTCAGACAGTGAGGTCTGGACTTTTTCAGCCTCTGTTGTAGATTTGCAGGAGTGCTTGGGATCATTATCCTGTTGCTGAGTTTCGGCCATGCTTTAGCTTTCAGACACATGGTCTCGTGTTTGATTCTAGAATACAGAGTCCAATGGCCACAAGGTCCTGTGTCTGCAAGCAAGCCCCAATCATCACGCCTCCAACGCCGTGCTTCACAGTTGGTATACGGAGTTTGTGCTGATATGCTCTGTTTGGTTTTTGCCAAACATGGCGCTAGATTTGTCACCAAACATTTCCACCCTGGTCTCATCCCTTCAAAGTACAATGTTCAACAAGTCTTGTGACTGGTTCAGCTGCAGTTTTCTAAACTATAATCCATGCTGCCATGTTCTTTTTTTTTTTAGAGAGAATGGCAACCCGTCAAAAAAAAACGTGTTCAGTGCACACAGCAAAGGGTCTCGAGTCAAAAACAAAACCAGGCTGCTGCATTTGACTCTGAGGCATATGTTCGCCTGCTCAAACCGGCACCCAAAGTCATGATTTTTAACATTTAACATGCCAACAGAGGCCTGTAAAGTCTGCGATTATTTCTTGGGTTTTTGCCTTTCTTTGAGTATCGCATGATCGGCCTTTGAGGTGAAGTTTGCTCGGATGTTCACTCCTGGGAAGGTTGTGCCATTGTCATAACACTTTTATAGAAGTGATCTTACTTTCTGATGATCAATCAATCATATGCATTCGTTCACAGCACCTGGCTGCTACTTATACTCCTTATTTGTGTGGTGCAAGGGTGCACTTACATTTCCACAGGACTGCATAGACTCCTGTGGAAACGTTTTATTCCCTTCACAGACGGCCTGCAGGCCACATCTGCTGTTATACTTAGTATCAGTTTTTGCTGAATTGTGAGTCTTTATAGTGCAGTGGTTTGGTTTCTGACAGTGAGTGAGTAATAGCCCAATAAAGGATACAAACCCATATTTTATTTGTTGGTGGTAGGCTCTGTTAGTTTGGTTAGTAAGTAGGTAAGCTGAGGTAGAAATTTATTAGGCTACGCTACATTCAAGACTACTTAGGGATGTTTTTAAAATATTCATTAATGGAGGTGAGCTCATCTAATATCACCGTTAAGTGTGGCATCCAACAGCAAGCCCATTCATGGATTTGCCTCACTTTGGAAAAATAGTGTAGTGCTGTTAGAGCAGAAGTAAAGTTAGAAAGCTTTCCTTTTTTCACAGCAGGATGATTCTGTACAACAAAACTAGAAAACAACACACTAAAAACAAGAAAATGATTCAAATGGATTATTATTGTCCAGCTGATTCAGTTCATCAGTTAGATCAGGTTTGTGATCTTTATGTCTTTATGATAGGGTCGGGTTTTTCGGGTATTATTTACAGCAAATATCACTGTTTTGCCTCATGTTACAGTACATTCATAAACAGTAGTCATTAGCTATATTTAAATATAAGATTAAAAAGACTTGGGCCGCACTAATGGGAATAGAACTAACTCGCAGAGCTTTTTCTCTTTGTTTCAGTCTCTTTATTCTTAAATTTGTTCACCAACAACAAACGTCTGGCAGGGCTTTTAGGCCCTCTTTCAACTCTATCCTGTCTTCATTAATCTCACCTCTTTTCGCTCAGCTACAGTTCAGTCGGAGAAGTCCAGCTGGCTCCGTCGCACTTTCCAGTCAGCCAACAAGCAACTCCCAGCTGCCCATCGTGGTCATCAGCTCAGTGAACTGGATGTCCGACTATCTTCGATCTGGCTTAGTCAGGCAGGAAATAATCTCTGTAAACAGATATCTGCTTATGAATATGAGGAATCTGTAAGCAAGGGCCAAGATCTTTGGTAGCTTTCTGGTTTCTGCATGTTGTCAGGATTCTGTTGACCAATCCCGTCCAGCTTTGCTTGCAAGTCACAAATGCTCTCATAAAAGAAAATTCTGATTGAACCGAGGAGATTGAAAGGATAGAATCATTTACACAGAAAACTTTAATCTTTTCATTTCAGTGAGCGGTTACAAGTGTCTAACTCGGTCAGTAAACGTAACATCAAGAGTTAGTGAACCTTGAGTGTTTGAATGTGGAGGTTTTGGGTGTACAAAGTGGCTGGACATCCTGTCCTCATCGCCAGCTCCTTGGTTCCTGCCCAGCTAGCTGTGCCGCACTAGAGCATATTTGTTTAGTTAGCCGTTTGATTTATGGCCTTGGGGTTTTTAATATGCTGCTGCCCCATCCCTCTCAAACCCAGCACCACAAAATTACACCGGGCAGAAAACTCCTTCAGAGTTTCTCACAAAATACTGACCTGAAATAGCGCAACACCTGTGTCAGCACCGCATATATGAAATCATCCTGGATGTGTAAATCCATGTATTTCATTCTGTAATAACTATGTAAAGGTTCGAAAGACTTTCCCACCTAAAATTCATCACCAATTAGAGAAAAATACTAAAGTTTTTATAGTCTAATTCAACGTCTTCCTAATAAGGTCAGTTACTTTACGCTCAACAGCTGTAGAGGTTTTGATTGAACTGCACCGTCTGTTTCTGACGCCTGGTGTTTGTAACGTTTACTGTTTGCGTATGTTGGAGGTAAACCTAGCTTATGAGACAAGGTTGCTCAGACTTTTTCTGGATGTGAGCACGAGCTTTGCACCATGCAAATTAATTACACAAGACACATTTGTGTGCGCGAACACTGAACTCGCTGTTTTACTGCCTGGAGAAACGTTGCCAAACACACTTTTCTACAAATTCCAGGTTGCACACATGCAGGTTGATACATTATTCACTCTCATGCTCGGATCTACCACACACACACTCTAGTGCAAGTTAGACTCTCCAAAACACTTTTGTGATACACACCTGCTACCACAGCATCAGCGTTATGGACGAACCTCAGCCTTCTACTGATATTTCTACTATAAATGACACTAATTTATACAATTTGTTAATGAAAACGCACTTAAACACCAAAATCGCCCGTAAGTTCTTATAGTGCAAACTCAACTTTAATTATTCGGGTGACAGTTTTAGTGCTTCTGCAGACATCGTGGTAACAGCATGACTGAGGAGGACACGAGGCAGGTCACACGTAACCCTCAAGCGTCTTTAACTATTTTTAACGCACGACCTTTCTCGAAAATCGCACAAAAAATAGAGCCGAGGATATTGTGTGCTCAGAGTTAGTGATCCTAGTGTGTGGTGAGTTTGTTGATGAACTTCTGCACCTGAAGAAATTGTCTCTCCCGCTTTGCCTCTGCCATCTAACACAGATATGACTTTTGTAGCTGTGCCTGTGTTTCTCTGTGAGTGTGCTGTGCATGCATGGTTGTAATTATCTGTAACGTGTATGAGTGAAAACACTTTTTTGGGGGGGATAGCAAAGGTTGCTCGTCCAGTTAAAGGTCATGTGGTCTGCTGCCGATCCTGTGCGACTGAGTTTCAGCACTAACTGCTTCAGTATACCCACCGTCACTGTGGCACACGTTCTCGAAAGACTTGGTGGCCGCTGGATGATTCTGCATCCCCACTGTGAGAATGACAGGTGTGTGTGTGTGTGAGGTTGTCTGAGGAACCCCTTCTTGGTATTTATGAGTTCTGGACAGCTGAGGTGTTTGGTGAGATCTCTATTTAGCACTTCCGGCTAATTATCACACACACATCCAAAGCCTGCGCTGAATATATGCAATTACTCCTGGAGTGCCCACCAACCCCCCACCCCCTGGTGGCATGTGGCTTAAATAGGTCCCTACTGCCCTTTTAACACTTGTGCTACTGCACAACAGGCGTCGCAACCTGTTACACTGAAACCAAAGAGCTTTGATCTGCAGAGCACAGGAGCGCCTCTAGTTTGGGTTTGAACATTTGTCACATAAACCCAAGTAATGTGGTATCTGGACACAGCATCCAGAGTGTGATTTGTGATGCTTTTATATTTTTGCTTTTATTTTATTGTTGCAGCACACGTCCAAATAAAAGAAATACATAAAATTGTTGAATGTTTTTGGCCTTTTTCCATTTGCTGTAGCTCAGACATCAGTGTACTAATTACCTTTGGAAACATGTAAGAGCCCACAGTCCCAGCTATTAGTACCTGCGCTGATGTGGCTGGATGTAATGAGCAGGTGCTTGTTTCCTGAGCTCTCTCAGCTAGAATTACCTTACACATATACTCTTGCTGAAAGATACCGTCTCCATACGAGGCTCGCACAAAAGGCCGCTTTGTTCCACTTTCATTTTTCTCTGTTTGTCTTGCTATCATCACTAAACCTGTGTCCTTTAAGCTTTTTAAGGCAAAGCCCTGATTTTCTTCGCTGAGCATGCGCGGCTGCCTCGTCAGTTGTTTAACACGATAGAAAGATTTTTAAAAGCTCTCTAAGAGTACAGGATGTGTTTTTAATCTTTTGTTAAATGTCGAGGTCGAACCTTGCACTCGAGTAGCCGTAGCTATGAAATTAGGATGAACGTGATTTCTTTTACATTTCACTTCAATGTGCTGCTTTTACTTAAGCAGTGGATTTGGCATTTTAAAGCTGGACTGTTTAAAATAAGTATGACTCAAGCTTTCAGAGCTTATTTTGTCCACAAACTGTTTTTCTTAGTTTGGTTTGGTCTGTTATTAACATCCTACGTATTCTTTTTTTCCCCCTCAACCACAATTGTTCTCTGTATTTGGATTTTCTTTCTGGTGGAGTTTAGTTTTGTTTGGTGGAGTTGGGTTTGTTTGGATTTCCTTCTCTTCATCCTAACCGTGTCCTCGTCTCTTTATTTTTCTCTCTCTCTGTGTCAGGTCCAGGGTGTAAGGGGAGCATTAGGTCTCAGAGCTCCGATGCCAGTGGACATGCAGCCACACCAGGGGCTGTATTACTACGAGACCTCACCCAGCCAGCCCTCCAGAGGGTAAGACGGCAGCGAGCACGGAGCGAGGCCTCCTGTTGCTTTTAAACAGCCGCAGCTCTTTTACGTGAGAGAACTCAAGAGAGTAGCTCGACATTTTCAGCAAATCTGATAACAATATAATCACCATCATTATTACACACACACACACACACACACAGAATGAGCTACAGTTGAGATTTTTCAGTGCTGCCTGGAAGATAAACCAGTGCTACTGGCTTTCTTCAAAAACAGCTGCAATATTTCTGTTCTGTAATTTACCGAATTTACATTCTGATACTAGTTTTATCTACGATTTCAAACTGTCTGGTCAAACTGAGCTAAATTATCTGCTCGGCGCTGATCTGCAACTTCTCCTACGACGACACAGGCTTGTCAGGTGTGGGTGTTTCTCTTCCTACAGACAAGAAGGTATTAAACTTCTGCAAAGAGTAGAGTTACTCCAGGATTTAACTCCCCGCAAAAACCTCAATAAATAAAGTTTGTAGGTGTTCGTCATGTACTTTTGTACTAGACCTTCACGTTTGTTGCCAGATTTTATGCTAAAAATGGCACAATGCTGTCATCTTTAATAACCAGAGCAGTTTCTTTTTTGTAATCTTGCTACAGATCAGCAAAATCTGAGACATCTGACTTTTTTTTTTTGTATTTTATTACAATAAATCGCATCAGCTCTCCTAGAAAGCAGAGACGACTGATATCTTAGGCTCAGAAATCAATCGCACAGATATTCTCAGGGTACAGAAGCTCAGATATGTCTGCAATTGTCGTGGACACAGTGCTAACTCAGCCCCTCACGCCTCCTCTATCCACCCTCGCGCCGTCTCCCTCCCTTCTCTCATGCCACCCAGGTTGCGGGTGGACTCGGCCTCTCTCTGACAGCTGCTAATTACAGGCTGACCAGGCCCCGCTGCGCTCTGCATGACTGCCTCGCGCCCCACTCAGGTTACCCAGAGTGAGGGAGAAGCAGAGAGAGTTGGAGAGAAAGGTGGCTGGGCAGGACAGAGGAAGAACAGAGGAGCAGGAGGTGGGGGGAGAAAGGAAGATAGAAAGAGACAGCGAGTTGCAGAGGAAGGAGAGCGAGAGAAACAGAAAAGTATAACAGAAAGGATGAATGGGAGGGAGGTAAATTCGGGGGGAACCAGCAGAGTGGATTAGAGAGGACAGATTAAGCTCCTGTGTGGAATACACGTTTGGGTAAAAGAATTAAAGAACTCAAAGGGCGACTTAGGAGAAGGTGGAGAGATGCAGTCTTTCCCTTTTAGAAGAAGAGCAACAGGGACGGAGAACAGCAAGAAAAGAACAGGAGAGACCAATTTTGAGCTAACCAGTGAGAGTAAAGAAATGCCAGAGAATCCATTGAAATTCATGAAGACTGGAAAGTTCCAATGAAGATTCATGTCTCTAGCTTAGGGGAAAACCCAGATGAGTAAGTTTCCAAAGTTTAGGGCGAAATAAGGGCTGTGTACCATCTAGTGGTGGGAAGGACACAGCACAATAGTAGTTGTAGTCTTTAGGCAGTGCTAGTTTTTCCAGGTATGGAATAGAAAACTTCTATATGTAATTCTAGCTTACAGGCTGGAAATAAAGCTTTCCAGTGAGTATAATCTTATCCCATTTATCAGGCTTTTATTTATTTATTATGATTTTGGTTTAGATGACTGTTCAATCAGCATCACTGTAAATAAAATGATAAAAACGCTACAAAAGAGTGCACAACAGTGTATCAGAAATCATTATCATTCCTTGTCACACTTCCCTGTCAGAGTATTTGCAGTTTACACATTTTTTTTTTTTTTTTTGCTGTTTTTCTGTGACGTTCGCAGCATAGTCCCATCAGATCAGTCTCCCTACAGTGATGTGTCTTCGCTTCGTGCTCCGCTCCTCGACGGCCCGCCCCAGGACTGCCACGCTATGTATAATCCCATGACTCATGGATCAGGACCAGGGCAGGGAATTGGCCCCTGCTTGGATCAATATATGAGGCACCCTCAAGCCCCACCACCCCACGGTATGATGGGCCACAGGGGCATGCCGCCCACAGAGGGTGAGTCAGAGTATCTTTTACATCTCCGTTAACCTCACAGCTGCTATTGATTTGGATTTAAGGATACCTGAGAGACTAAAACCAAGAAACAATGTACAAAAGGAGTGAACAGAAGTTAACAGTTGGCTGGCTTTACTGTGGAGATATAAATCTGCAGTGTGAGGTTGCAGTAAAACAGCAGGCGGGTGGATTACTCTAAATTAGTCAGTTAAATAAAGACGAACTAGAGCTAAAAGAGTTGTGTGCGTTCAAATATATCCATATATAGATACAGATATGACTGAACACTTACTTGTTAATGAGTAACTGGTTAAATTTGTATGCATGTATGTTACATCACCAGTCATGTTGAATGTTATCAAAACAGTCAAATGAACCTCTCATGTGGCTGCTGATGCAAAGTACTAAAATGCTTTTCTTCCATTTGTACCTCATGTTACTTATTTGCTATTTATTTTAATTATTTTTTTCTATTACGCCTAAAAGTCTAAAAAGAAAGGGTCCAGACTAGACACCACCAAGAACATGTGTCATTACAGAAAAGGTGAAACGTTTTGAAAAAGTTTTAGTTGCACGGCTCTGCAGGTCAGCCTAAATTTTAGGCTGATTTTCGGCATGTGCGTGCTTCTTTCTGACTCTCTGAGCTGCTGCGACCCATTAATCCTGTCTTTGTTGCCCTACTTAAAAATAATGTAGCTTTTTGCAGCAGTGCATTTCAGTGTCTGTAATGCTTTGCAGGTGGTAACAGCGCCCCCTACTGTAACCAGAACATGATTTCTCATCACAATTTCTGCCAAGTTCAACATGGCTCTGATCAGATTGGATCAGGTGATGGTAAGGAAAACCTTAATTTAGATTTTTTTTTAAAAAAACATCCTGAAATTTAACCCTTCTGCTTTCATTGTCATCTCTCCTGTAGGCTCGAGGTTCTCCACTCCTCGTTCCATGCTTAAGCTAAGCAAAAAGAGAGCTCTGTCCATCTCTCCTCTGTCTGATGCCAGTGTGGACCTGCAGACGGTAATCCGGACCTCACCGAATTCCTTAGTGGCCTTTGTCAACTCTCGCTGCAACCCCAACGGCGCTAGCTCCTATGGTCATCTCTCTGTGAGCGCTATGAGGTCTGATATCACTTGATTTTATATGATTTGAAAGTCACGGTTA